TTATATGTAACAGGTCTTTTTTTCTTTTGACTGCTTTTAAGGTTTTCTCTTTACCTTTCTTTTTCAGCATTTTGACTGAGGTGCACTTGGGTGTGTGTTCTTTTATGTTTAGCATGCTACATTTCTTGGATCTGTAAATTTATATATCACTAAATTTGGGAAATATTTCTAGCTCCTTTTTTCCGCATTCTTTCCCTTGTCTCCTTTTGGGTGGAAGTGGGAATCCAGACCTTTAGATTCTGGATTCTATAGATTGCTGAGGCTGGCTGGCTTTCTTTCTTTCATGATTTTTTCTGTTTTTTAGATAATTTTTACCAATCTATTTTCAAGTTTCCTGACTTATGTCTAATATGTTATCATGCCCATCCAAAGACTTTCTGATTTCAGGTATAGTATTTTTCAGTTATAGAATTTCCATTTGGCTCTTTTTTTTTATAGTTTTGATTTCTTTGTTACTATTTCCAATTTATTTTATTATGAGCATATTTTTCTTTATGTTCTTGAGCATGGTTAAAATAGATGCTTTAAAATTCTTATCTGCTGAATTTTAATATTTGGGTCATCTCAGGGTTGCTTTGTGTGGCTCGCTTCCCTGTTTCTTCATATGTTTAGTAAGTTTGGTTGAATCCTGGATATTGTAATGATATGCTATAGACACTCTGGAATCTGTTATGTTCCCCTTAAGGGTGGTCTTTTTTTTAAATCTGTTAAACTACACATAATATAAAATTTATCTTAAGTATTTTTAAGTGTATGGTTCAGTGGTGTTAAGTACATTCACATTGTTAGGCAGCCATCCCCACCATCTATCCCCAGAACTCCTTGTCTTGTGAATCTGAAACTCTTATACCTATTAAACACTAACTGCCTATTCCTCCCCACCCTCCCACCCCGGCCCCTGGTTTCTACCATCTACTTTCTGACTCCTCTAGGGACCTCATGTAAGTGGGATCCTACAGTATTTAACCTTTGTTGACTGGCTTCTCCCACTGAGCACAGTGTCCTCCAGGTTCATCCATATGGTGGCAGGTGTCAGAATCTCCTTCCTGTTTAAGGATGAATGACATTCCATCCTGTGACGGATCATGTTTTGCTTCTCCGTTCATTGGTTGATTGACACTTGGGTGCTTCCCTGTCTTAGCTGCTGTGAATAATGCTACCGTGAACATGGGTGTACAAACATCTCTTTGAGACCCTGCTTGCAGTTCTTTTAGGTACATACCCAGATGTGGAATTGCTGGATCATATGGTAGTTCTATTTTTAATTTTGTGAGGGACTTTCGTACTCTTTTCCACAGCGGCTGCACCATTTTGTGCTCCCGCCAACACTGCACAGGGTTCCAGTTTCTCCACGTCCTCACCAACACTTGTTATTTCATGTTTT